GTGTGTACTAAAAACACACATTTTTATTTGGTAATTGAAATTAAGCAAAACTAAAGTAAAATATAAACGAAAAAGCACTAAAATGGCTAAAATAGAAAAACTAAAACTGAATAAAAATAATGTTCTATAGTACTTAAAATTCTTTAAAAATATAAAAATGACAACAGCACATAATACAACTCCTAAAATGAAAAGGAAATCTAAAATCTAAAAATAAAAAGCTAATTTAAATAATAAAATAAAAAAATAAATATATGTGACCCTGGAGCACAAAAGTAGTGTTGAGTCGCTGGGGGATATTTGTAGCAATAACCAACAATACATTGTATGGGTCACAATTATACATTTCTCTTTTATGACAAAAATCATTAGGATATTAAGTAAAGATCATGTTCCATGAAGATATTTTGTAAATGTCCTACCGTAAATATATCAAAACTTAATGTTTGATTAGTAATATGCATTGCTAAGAACTTCATTTGAACAACTTTAAAGATGATTTTCTCAATATTTAGATTTTTTTGCACCCTCAGATTCCAGATTTTCAAATATTGTCCGATCCTAACAAACCATACATCAATGGAAAGATTATTTATTCAGCTTTCAGATGATATTTCAAAAATTTTAAAAACTGACCCTTATGACTGGTTTTGTGGTCCAGGGTCACAAATATGAACGTTCCCGTGGCTTTAAGCGTACACACACTCCGAGATCAAATGTGTTCGTATGCACGCTTTATAAATGAGGCCCAGTGAGTCGAGAGTCTAGCAGCTTCATCTGCTTCCCTTCAGCCGCTCAGCGTCTTTCTCCAGAGCGTCCATCAGCGGCCGGCCGGAGCGTACAGGGGCGTCGGGTACATGATAGCAGCAAGGCCTGATGGGAAAAATAGGGATGTATCGGTTTTAGCAATATCGTAATATATCGCGATATAGGGCTGCACGATTAATTAGGGATGTAACTATTCACCGCGAGCTGGTTGAAAATCGATTCAAATATGTAACGATTCAAATCAAACAAATCGCGATACAATTAGGGATTGGAGTTTATATGGATGCATCTCAGAGGAGAACTGTCTGTCTTTAGAAAAGTTTACGTGGTATTTTCTTTTCATCTTGCCTCTGAACGATGCAAATTAAAGTAGTGTTCATTTAAGTGCAGCTCGGCTTGACCAAGGTCATTGCTGTTCATAAGCGCCACCTGCTGGCAGAGAGTGAATCTGCGGTTTCTGCTTCATGCAGATATTTTTGTATGTATAGTTTCACAAAATTGAAGTCAGACCGTTCTGTTTTTGCTTCAGATTTCGAAATTAGATTAAAAACTGCTCGTGTTGCATGTGTGCAGCATCTTTGTTTGGATCGTGATTAAAATGCAGTGGTTGCCTCTAAATGTAAAAGGAAAGCGCACAGACAAAGCCTAGTTTGTTTATACCAAGAGATTTCTTTTATGTGTGTTACTTCTTTGATTTGGGGCTTGTTTTACGTTTTCAATTTAGTTTTCTTATATTTCAATTTCGTATAGAAAGGTGCAGCATTTTGTCCACGCAATAATAAAAGGACACATTTTTCATTTACTGTATAATGTGTCTTAAATCTTATTTTGATAAAGGCTGTCAATTAGCACTGCATTATGTGAGATGATGTATACTTTGTATAACATCAGTCTTTGTTCTTCTCATGCTGTGTAACATATAATCATAGTTTTATTACCTCCTATGTTTCTGTTAGGAACTGATAAACAAGTACATGGTACGTTTTATTACGGATGCTCTTTATGTGACTTCTTTTGGACTGTTGAACAAAAACACCCGCCTACTCCCATTCTAACGCTTGGAAGAGCCAGGGTAGCTTTTAATATAACTCCGATTGGATTCGTCTGAAAGAAGAAAGTCATATACACCTAGGATGCCTCGAGGGTGAGTGAAACATGGGCTAATTTTCATGTTTGGGTGAACTAACCCTTTAAGAACATGGGTTGAAGCTCTTAATTCTGAACTCTTAAAAGTGCATTTAACTTTAAAATGTATAGAAGTCTTCATGTCTTTTTTTTTTTTATATTGCAAAAAATATTGTACCGTGGACGTCATATCGAGATATTATC